GTACAAAAAATAGACCTTTGAACTACTTTTCACTGTAAAGAGGTTGAATTTCGTGGAAGGTTCAAATTTTGACAACACTTTAATTAATAAATGAGCTTTCAAAAAACTCTGGTTTTAACCCTTTTGCTATCTTTTTACTTATGTTACGCATTTTCAAACTTTTTGAAGTTTCAAAAGCTGTTATCTCAAAAATTTCAAATGGCAACATCGGTTTCATTACAAACCACATTGTAGCCCTTGAAATTTGCTATAATTTTTGTATTTAATGTTTTTTGGTATCTTCATTGGTTAAAGAGATATAGCAAAATTAGTGTATTTTAATGTTTTATTAAATGGTATTCAAAGTGTTTGCAAGTGTGTGTAAATGTACACGTCTAGGTCTCAATTAAAACTAATTATGTTTTAAAAATTTAAATATTACCCAGATTGTTAAACTTGGAGGATTAATAAAGGAAAAAACACAACTGCAAATATTCTTAGTTATTTTACAATTTACAAAATTCTAATAGTGCTTTGAATTAATACTGTCTATAAATGCTACTGGTAAATAAAAAAAAATCATCATGAAATCAATGAGCGTGTGCGTGAAACTGGTCACGTTTGATCAGATAAAACAAATTATAAGGAACTTACTGGATCTCTACGAGAGGTGAATGCACCTGCGGTAGTAAAATAGCAATACAGTACCATAATAGTGGAGAAGAAGTACTACGTGCATAAACAGAGTTGGTGTTTGCATGGAACAAAATGGAAGGCAATTTAAGCATTTGTAGAAGTCCATCGGTATGTAGGCTATTAATGCTGATTCAAACAAATTATTCATTCAAAGCACTAATAGAGCCATGGAATTGTAAAATAACTAAGAATATTTGCAGTTGTGTTCTTACCTTTATCAATCTTCCAAGATCAACAATCTGAATACTATTTTATTTTTTTAGACAAGAATTGTTTTAATTGAGACCTACAGGTTTACATTTGCAACAGCAAACACTTTGAATACCATTTAATAAAACATTAAAATACACTAATTTCGTTATATCTCTTTAACCAATGAAGATACTAAAAAACATTAAATACAAAAATTATAGCAAATTTTAAGGGCTACAATGTGGTTTGTAATGAAACCGATGTTGCCATTTGAAATTTTTGAGATAACAGCTTTTGAAACTTCAAAAAGTTTGAAAATGCGTAACATAAGTAAAAAGATAGCAAAAGGGTTAAAACCAGAGTTTTTTGAAAGCTCATTTAGCAATTAAAGTGTTATCAAAATTTGAACCCCCCACGAAATTCCACCTCTTTACAGTGAAAAGTAGTTCAAAGGTCTATTTTTTCTACGTTTTTGAACACCCTGTAAATAGGGATGAAGATAATTTAAATCTTTTTCCACTAAAATACTCAGGACTAAAGGACCTTTAAAAAGAGGTATAACACGACCCCCCTTTACATTTGAAAATTTCCCAAAAACCACCCCCACCCCCCAAAATCTGCCCTTTGGGGTGCTTTTTTGGGGTTGAAAATAATTTAGCTGAATTCCTTGGGGTCAAAATAGGGGGTTCCAGTTGCAATTAGGTTTCTATTTGCTTTCATATTGGAGCTATACAAGCCGGCCGGGTGGTCTGAGACACCCTGTATATCTCTAAAAAATTTATTAAAATAAAAAAATTATTAAAAATTAAAAATTAATTTTCTTGAAGTATTTAAATTTGGAGAGAATATGTAATGCAAGGTACAATCTGTGACCTTGAAAAAAGTTGCATTTATGGTATAAGTTGATCAAGAAGGTCAATACAGATTACATGTATATACAATACAGACACTTATTGTTAGAAAACGCAGACATTTGCATATGTGACAGGAAAAACTTATTATGATAAAATCGTAATTACGTCTTTGAATAGCCTTTTATCTATAAAAAAAAATTATCTATTAGACTGCACATTTTAAAGGGTATTAAACAATTAAAGTTGTATATAAAGTTCAAGATTCCATTGGATAAGATTGGAAATTTAACGAGAACAATTAAACGCGTTTGCAATAACTGCCAGTATAAACGTCTCGCTCTGACAGGTCTGAAAAATAAATTCACATTTTAATGTTTCGTTCTGCTTACTTACTTTTCTTTGAGTATTTAAATTTGGAGAGAATATACAATGCTAGGTATACTCTGTGAGCTTTAAAAAACATTTTGCATTTACGATATAAGTTGATGAAGAAGCTCAATACAGAATACATTTATCATGCAGCCACTCTTTGTTAGAAAACGCAGAAATTTGCATATGTGACAGAAAGAACTTATTATTAATTACTTGTAGTGGCCCTTTACATAAGTTATAATATATTTTGATCCTTGTACTTGATTGTCTAATGACAGTATTAAAGCAAAACAATTTATATAAGGTGAAAGTTGATTCTGTTCTCATGCTAGCAACGGGTTTGAGCCAAACTTCTTGTTTTCGAGTAGAATACCTGGTCATCGTTGATGGCGGGGTTGAACTGTGCAAGGTTATTATCAGTGTTAGAGAACTATCCTATCTAGTTGGACAAATTGTGCAGGTTGTTTGATTGAGGTTAGGATTATCTGCATCCAGGGCTTGGAGTTGCTAAATGGCCTACGCTACAAGGTGCTATCAATCGTGTATAATTAACCGTAGTTTGCACATGAATTTAATTACATAGTTAATTTATATAGCCATTTAAAAATCTGTGCAATAGCCAAAGTCAATGTCCAGACAATGGCCCCAGAAACATAAATACGATTGATAATTTCTTGACCGCTGAACAGTTCGAAATTGCCCAAATGATTTACTTTATGGCACGGGCTGTACAGAGTTGTTACAAATACATACAAAACTCACAAAACATACGAACAACAACAAACATTAACTCAAATAATTGTCTCTTAACTCATTTACTGCCTACGGCGCGTTTAAGTGAGGCCTAAGATGCCAAAATATGTGACCTACTCTGGGTATACTAAAGCACCGATCAAAATTAAAATATTTTCCCTGTATTTAGAAATCGGTTGGAATATAGCTATAAAAATTTCCCAACAAAAAAAAAATAAAATAACTGTTGAATGTCCTAGTTTGGACAGATTTTCTCAATACAAAAATCAAATAATAAAACAAAATGCTGTGAAAGGAACTTCATTACTGTTACTGACACTTATCAGGCTAGTTCAAATGTGACCATTCAGCATTATCAAGTTAATATAGACTGATGTAAAGGATTGAGTTTTGAACTTCAAGAATTTTAGTCACGTTTCCACTCTGAGCTCACCCAGGAGAAACTTCATAAAGAGTCCAAAGTTGGCAAAAAATACTTACTCTTAAACACTAGAGGCGGACTTATTGTTTTTCACACTACTACGATGTTATTAGCTGTTTTACAAATTTTTATTGGAGGCCGAAAACTACGTATTGCTGCACATGCTACAGGGTGGCACAGATGGATCGGGTGGTTTTAAACTACTTGTCAAACTGTCAATTTTAAAGGTATTGTATCCTATACTCTAATACGAGCAATGTTTGCTTGTATGTATGCTTGCTTGCTTGCTTGCAGAAAGATCTCGAAAACGGCTCCGACGATTTTCTTCAAATCTTGTAAATAGTTTATTTTTGGCCTAAAAACAAGTTTCATGCAGTTAGAACTGCCAACAAAAATCTAATTACGTAGAAAAACGAAACTGAAAGTCACATTTTTTTAACATTAGTCTTATGGGTTGCTAAGTAACCATGTTGGTTGAATTAAATAACAAGGAAAAGGTAAACAAAAGACTTGAAGTTGTAGCACGTGTTCATAATAAACCAACTACCCACAGTATACTAGCAAATTACAAATACAGTACAAAAGGAAAAACATCACTTGTTAATATTGAGCAAAGATTATACCAAAGATTGATTATACTTAAGATTACTCGAGACATTGTAGTCAAGGGTAGCAGTGCGAAGTCTAGGATCTGTTTATGACGAATACATTAAGGTATCTGCAATCCTAAAATGCTATGGGAAGGGAAGGAAACAGGTCCGTGACGTAGGAAGTAGTGAAGGAAGTAGTAAAGGCAATCATAAAATGCTATGGGAATAGAGGGAAACAGGTCCGTGACGTAGGAAGTGATGAAGGAAGTAGTAAATGCGAGCAGTCCGGAGTGTGGGGACTGTTTATGACGATAAGATTAGGGTATCTGCAATCCTAAAATGCTATGGGAAGGGAGGGAAACAGGTCCGTGACGTAGGAAGTGGTGAAGGAAGTAGTCAAGGCGAGCTGTCCGGAGTGTGGGAACTGTTTATGACGATTAGATTAAGGTATCTGCAATCTTTAAATGCAATGGGAAGGGAGGGAAACAGGTCCGCGACGTAGGATGTGGTGAAGGAAGTAGTCAAGGCGAGCTGTCCGGAGTGTGGGAACTGTTTATGACGATTAGATTAACGTATCTGCAATTATGAAATGCAATGGGAAGGGAGAAAAACAGGTCCGCTACGTTGGAAGTGGTGAAGGAAGTAGTCAAGGCGAGCTGTCCGGAGTGTGGGAACTGTTAATAACGATTAGATTAAGGTATCTCCAATCTTAAAGTGGTATGGGAATGGAGGGAAACAGGTCCATGACGTAGGAAATGGTGTAGGACGTTGTAAAGGCGAGCCGTGTGGAGTTTGGGAACAGATTTATGTATCTCCGATACTAAGACTGCTTTCGGAGTGAACTAATGATTTTCTCCGAGCAAAGCTCGGTCCCCAGGTACTTGAAATAAAGTGTGTAGCGTCAGCTGATGACGTTGTCATAGCAACCAATTATGATTTAATTTAGTCTGGTTTTTGTTTTCTACAGGAATGTACACAAAATTTAACTCTCTTATTAAACTACTTTTCTTTTACTTATTTGGTCGTATTTCATTTGGTATACACAAACAACCACGACCAAAATGGTGACCCCGACTACAACCGTTATCTAAAGACTTATTTTCTTTGAAGAGTTTAAATCTTTTGTGTTTCCTCCTTCGAACGATGTCATTAGAAAACCTGCCGACTCAACTCGCCGAACTTAGAACTGCGAATGAAGAACTGCGTCAACGGATTAGACAACCCAGCACTTCTCAAAACATGTTGGTCAACAGAGTAGCCGTCAAACTTCCGCCCTTTTGGCCTGAAAGACCAAGTCTGTGGTTCTGTCAAGTTGACTCGCAATTTCTTATTTCTGGAATTACCAACGACAACACCAAGTTTCACTACGTGGTCTCGCAATTGGACACAGGAATTGCTGCTGAAGTCGAAGACATCATAATAAACCCTCCTCAAGGCGATAAATACGGACATCTAAAAAAGAAACTGATTGAACGCCTCTCTGCATCCGAAGAGCAACGTGTGCGGCGGCTGCTGAGTGAAGAGGACCTTGGAGACCGCAAGCCTTCCCAGTTTTTGAGGCATCTTAGGTCTCTTGCGGGCTCGACTCCCCTTCAAGACAACATGCTTCGTCAACTGTGGCTCAGACGACTCCCTCCTCATTCACAAGCCATATTGACTACGCAACTTATATTTATATATATACGCAGCTCTCCTTGGACAAACTGACAGAACTGGCTGATAAGATCATGGAGGTGGCTGACATTCCTTCAACACCTGGTATTTGTGAAGTCTCTTCAGGTAACGCTTCTTTATTAAATGCAATAGAATCCCTCTCTAAACAAGTTCAAGCATTATCAGAAACCAGAGTACGAGAAACACAGGTGAGACCTAGGGGTCGTTCCCAGTCTCGTGGTAGATCAGGAAACGAGCCTAATCCCTCTAAGAACTGGTGCTGGTACCATAGAAAATTCAAAAACAATGCTACCAAATGTCTTTCTCCATGCTCTTTTCAGGGAAACCTCAGAAACAATCCGTAGAGGCCACAACGGATTGTTCAAATGCTGGCAGCCGTCTCTTTGTGATGGACAGAAATTCACGAACTAGGTTCCTTATCGACACCGGGTCTGATGTGTCGTGTTATCCTAAACACCTTATCAAATATAAACGTTTTCCTACTAGCTATTCACTAAGTGCTGCCAATAACAGTGAAATAAAGACTTATGGTACCATGCCTCTCACCCTTAATTTAGGCCTTAAACGTAATTTCCCTTGGAGTCTAGTGGTAGCGGATGTTTCAATACCTATATTAGGTTCAGACTTCCTTTCACACTATCACTTATTACCCGATTGCAAGATGAAATGTTTGGTTGACAAGAAAACGGGATTGAATGCCAAGGGAATAGTTTCTAACAACAATCAAACTAGTATTAAAGTTATATCTTTCTCCTCGCCATTGGCAAAAGTTTTTTCTGAATTCCCTGATATTATTCGTCCTCCAGGCTTACCTCGTGCTGTGAAACATGATGTTCATCATATAAATGTTACACCTGGTCCTCCTGTTCACTGTCGACCACGTCGCTTACATCCTCAAAAACTGAAAGCTGCCCGGAAAGAATTTGAGGAGATGGTTAAGCTTGGTATTGCTCGACCCTCTGAAAGCCCCTGGTCCTCTTCTTTGCACATGGTGCCTAAAGGGGAAAATGGATGGCGTCCTTGAGGTGATTACCGCGCTTTAAATGCTCGTACTGTTCCTGACAGATACCCTGTACCACATATTCAGGATTTCTCGTTCAATTTAGCAGGCTGTACACATTTCTCTGCCATTGATTTGACAAAGGCTTACCACCAAATTCCCGTCCACGAATATGGCATCCAAAAAACAGCAATCACCACTCCATTTGGGTTGTTTTAATTTCCATTCATAACTTTTGGCTTGCGCAACGCAGGTCAAACATTTCAAAGATTCATAGATAAAGTTATTCACGGCCTTGATTTTTGCTATGCATATATTGACGACATTTCAGTATTTTCCCAGTCTGAAGAAATACATAAAGAACACCTAAGAATGTTGTTTGAACGACTTTCTGACTATGGAGTAGTTGTAAATCCCTCTAAATAAGTAATTGGTGTACCAGAAGTTAAATTTCTAGGTTATTTAGTCACATCTGCTGGGACACGTCCACCTCAGGAGAGAGTAACTACTCTACAAGACTACCAGTTACCTCAGACAATGCGTGGTCTTCGCAGATTCTTGGGAATTATGAACTTTTATCGTAGGTTTCTGCCTAAGGCCGCTGAATTTCAAGCACCTCTGCACTCCCTACTTAGTGACGCTGATTCAAAAGGTTCCCTTCCTGTGCCCTGGACTCCAGAGACAGAAGAAGCTTTCCAAGCATGCAAGGCTAGCTTATCATCAGTAACACTATTGTTTCGTCCTAAACCTGATGCTCCTCTTGGTCTCTTTACAGACGCCTCTGGAGTAAGTGTAGGTGCTTGCCTCCAACAGTTTGTCGATGACTCTTGGCAACCTTTAGGTTTTTTCTCCAGGAAACTATCATCCAAACAGTGCGTCTGGCCTGCATACTACAGAGAACTCCTCGCTATTTATGAAGCTGTGCAGCATTTCCGTCATCTCTTGGAAACAACTTCTTTCACTATATTCACAGATCATAAACCACTTATTTATGCCTTTCAATAGCGCCGTGACAAGTTGCCTCCAGCGCAGTTACGCCAATTTTCATTTATCTCTGAGTTTTCGACAGACATAAAGCACATCAGTGGCTCAAAAAATATAGTTGCTGATGCTTTGTCACGTGTTGAAGCCATTTAAAATGTTTTAGATCATGAATCCTTAGCCAAGTCGCAAGAGTCAGACGAAGAACTTCAAAATCTCATTTCAGAAAGTACTACATCTCTTAGATTGGAGAAAGTTCCAATTCCTGGAACCCATTTGAGCCTTATCTGTGACACCTCAACAGGAACTCCTAGACCCTTTGTGCCATCAGAACTGCGATGTAGAGTTTTCGACCAGTTCCACAAGCTGAGTCATCCTGGAATACGTGCCACAACAAAACTTATCTGCGATCGTTTTGTCTGGCCTTCCATTCATAAGGATTGCCACAAATGGACTCAATCTTGCCTCTCATGCCAAAGATCTAAGATAACTAGACATGTTTCTACTCCCCTTGGTGATTTTCATACACCTACAGAACGTTTTTCCCATGTCCACATTGACCTAATTGGCCCACTTCCCTTATCAAAATCTTCTAGGTACTGTCTAACTATCATAGATAGATTTACTCGTTGGCCTGAAATTTGTCCTATTGATAAAATAACTGCCGAATCTGTTACTCGAGCGTTTGTCTCTACTTGGATAGCTCGATTTGGATGCCCACAAAAGTTGACATGTGATCGTGGATCCTAGTTCACATCGACTTTGTTTAAAGACCTAGCGCGACAGTTGGGCATAAAGCTCCAGTTCACTACCAGCTGACATCCACAAGCCAACGGTATGATTGAAAGACTCCACCGCCAGTTGAAAGCCGCTATAATGGCTCACAGCAAATCAGACTGGAGCGAAGTACTGCCCTTTGTCCTTCTCGGAATAAGATCTGCTTTCAAGGAGGACGTCACTGCTTCATCAGCTGAAATGGTGTACGGAGAACCACTGCGTCTTCCGGGAGAGTTTTTCATAGTACCTTCTCACGAGAGCAACGAGCCACAAGGATTGGTATCAGGGCTGCGTAAGCATATGAATCGACTAAGACCTACACCCGCATCACGCCACATTAAACCAAGGTCGTTTGTGTTCAAGAACCTAAGCACTTGTGACTTTGTATTTCTTCGACAGGACTGTTTAAGGAAATCTTTACAGGCCCCATATTCTGGTCCTTACAAGGTCATATGCCGTGACGAAAAGACAGTTACCATCATTGTAAGAGGCCAAGAAACTAAGGTATCTTTGGACAGGGTCAAGCCAGCCTATATTATTGCAGATGAAAATCCTATTCCTGAGCCCACGGAACGTTTGGTGCCGACTGGACAAGCAGAGGAAACCTCAAAACTACCACCACGTTATCAAACTCCATCTACGAAGTCTTATACAACTCGTTCTGGAAGACAAATCCGACCACGGGTTACTTTTCAGAATGATGTATAGATTCCTTTTCTCCGTGGGGGGCTGGTGTAGCGTCAGCTGATGACGTTGTCATAGTAACCAATTATGATTTTATTTAGTCTGGTTTTTGTTTTCTACAGGAATGTACACAAAATTTAACTCTCTTATTAAACTACTTTTCTTTTACTTATTTGGTCGTATTTCATTTGATATACACAAACAACCACGACCAAAATGTGCAAAACGTGTAGTTACAATGGAAGTTTATTAACAAAAAATTTGTGAAGTTAGTTTTTAAAAATTACATCCATCAAATGCCTTCCTTCTCGAGCGACGCATTCTTGGTGTCGGTCCTTGAGGTTCCGCATTGCTCAAGCACATCACCAGGAATTGATGTGATTTCGTTGTGAATTGCAGCCTTCAACTCCTGAAGCAAGGGTCCACATAAACAAACCCCGGAGCATTCAGGAGCTGAAGGCTGCAATTCACAACGAAATCACATCAATTCCTGGTGATGTGCTTGAGCGAGCAATGCGGAACCTCAAGGACCGACTCCAAGAATGCGTCGCTCGAGAAGGAAGGCATTTGATGGATGTAATTTTTAAAAACTAACTTAACAAATTTTTTGTCAATAAACTTCCATTGTTACTACACGTTTTGCACTTTATTTCAATCCAATACCTTTAAAATTGACAGTTTGACAAGTATTTTAAAACCACCCGATCCATCTGCGCCACCCTGTACTACTAATCGTCATTTGGGGACCGAGCAGGTTTTCACATCCCTAGGGCCGAAAATCAGCTGTCCGCTTACTTTCATAAAACAATCATATTAAATACACATTGCAATAGAATTGTTTTACTGTCACCGCTTAAATAGTGCAACTATTTGTTAATAGTAAACTATAGTTGCTGCCTAGCAACTATTTATTATCATTTTTGCTGATTCCTAAAATTATTTCTCCACATAACCTTAAAGTTGTAGTTGTGTTGACCATTAGTGTGCATTATTATTGTGGTGAATAGTGGGTGTATATGATAGTGGTAATAGGGTATGGTGTGGTGAAAGATGGCGTTCGTACCACGGACCGAAATTGTTTTTGGCCCTAGGTACGAAATGTACATACAACAACAACAATCGATGAATCAAAATATTATAAACACTTCAGAGAACATATATGGAGCACACGTATATCAAGTGTAAAATTTATTGATAAAAAAGATTGTATATGGTGAAAGAACAGAAACACTGTCACAAGACATATCAGAATGTTGAGATTACAGAAGTTAAAACGTCTGGTGTTATGGTCCCTTACATAAAGCGGAACTATAACATTACGGAATCCTCTAGAGAAAGAAGAGGAAATGCAGATATACTCTTTTATGTAGTCTTTTAGCATCTAAACAAACAACTAAGAAACCTGTCACTATCATCTTGAAACTTTTCGTTTCAGTATTTATCACTTAAATAAATGTCTGTTATAAGGAAATTTCCTAATATGAAAAGTAATTAAAGTGATTAAACAATAAATACTTATTTCACGCAACGACACGTTCGTTGTTAAACACGAATGACAAGAAGTGCTGTTTATCACTTAAATAATGATGTC